ATATATATATATATATATATATATATATATATATATATATATATATATATATATATATATATATATATATATATATATATATATATATATATATATATATATATATATGGTGCTATATTTATGGAATAAAGTGCTCAATATCAGAGATGGGTGTGTGTAAATATAAAAGTGAACATAGAAGTCAACACTTAGAGGCGACAGTCTGTTTCATGCTATATGCAATCGTCAGGCCACATATGCTCTCTCTCTCTATATATATATATATATATAGAGAGAGAGAGGATGAAGCAAAAAAGTTGCGCAGCATAGGGGTTAATGGATAGGTGGAAGAGGTTTGCTTGAGTGGCCACTGGGGCTCTCGGTCATAACATATTTAGTTTATTTGGGCTTTCATGGCTGAAAAAAAAATGGCATGTCAAAAGGTTGGTTTTCCATTGGCATCGCTATTATTTTAACTACCTTCATTCCTTGACACATTTTATTGTTTCAAAAGGTAATGATTAAAATTGGAATATTTTCTTTGTTCTTAAGAATTTACAACAAAAATAATAAACACTGTGCATTAGATTGTTTATTGGAATGGTTGGCAAAACATTGGCTAATTGCCAATCGATTCAAACTTTATAAAATGCTAAATAATAATAAATCCCTTATATATTTCACATATTTTAATAATTTAGTAAATGTTCGTAAATTTATGAATAAAATTTTGCTTTCATTTTTATTTCTTTATAAATTAATAAATAATAAATATTGCATTGCATTAGTTTTAATGGTGTAAATATAACATTATTCTTGTAAATAAACAATCTAATATAAATAATATTTAACATTATTATTGCAAATTCTCAAGAACAAAAAATGTATAAATTTACTTTCATCATATGTTTAGGTTTTATTACAGTTCTAATCATTATTTTTAAAAAACTAACGAATATTGCTGAAGAGAGAAGTTAGTTAAAATAATACTAGTGTCAATGGAAAAGTCATCTTTTTGACACTTCGTTTACAAGCACAATGGTGTAAGTTTACCAAAAAAAATGGAAGAACATAAATGAAGGTTTTAATTTATAGAAAGAGAACATAAACAATATGTCAGAATGTGTTACATGCATTCTCTCCAACCCTAGAAAGAAAAGCTAGCAGATATTACAAAAGTCTGTCCTTCCTTACAAATCCTGCATGTCATGCTGTGACAGGTTATGTTTTCCCCAAGTGTTTGGGAAGCCTCTTCTATTCACGCCATCTTGCCCAAAACTGTTCACTGTCTAAATGAGTCACATAACCAGCGAAGTATGGTGTATGAAGGAAGGGATGTTAAACCAACAGGAGTGTTAACCAACTTATTTACCATCCTGGGTATGATGATAAACTACATCTACATCCTCTGACAGCAAGGCCTCTGATCAGGGGGTTTTGAGGAGCATGGAACCACTTTTTTAATTGCTGTGTTCCCAGGTCCACCCTGACTCAGGATGGTAGCATCTGTTAGGGTCCCAACTATGGGTAAATAGTTAACCCCCCAAACTGAGGTCAAAATACTATGAAAGTGTAAAAATAGGTTCTAATACCAGAAATACTTTGTAAAAAATTATTACCAGCAATACATTTTTGAAAAAAAATATTACCATCTATACATTTTTGAAAAAAAAAAATTACCAGTAATACATTTTGAAAACAGTCATAATTTTTGGTTCATCCATGTTGTTGCCTGTAGGAGGCACAGTGAAGTAATGGATAGTGGCTCGGATTGAGGAATCGGAGAGCCAAGTTCAATGTCCAGTCAAATCCATTATATTCACTTTCATGCTAATACTCTTGGGAAAGGTATGAATCTTCTTCTCCCACCAGCTACAAGTAAATAGCAGGACAGACCAGGTTCTGTAGCCTTGGATGGCAACTGGTCTACTGCAGACAGAAATGGCAACCTACTGTGGGAAAAAAATCTGCCTTGTCAATCATGTATTGAAAGATATATGATCGCTTAAGAGTGTATCCCACATGGCACATAATAAAAAAAAAAAATTGCCAGCAATAAAAATCTTGTCGGCATTAAATAACCCATTGTGGTTGATATGCTGTAAAACAAATCAAATTAACTTTGTTTACTAAAGAATTTCTGTTAACAGTCGGTATATGATGTTGCTAGAGCAGTATATAATAAAAGAGTATAAAGGTTTAATTCTCTTTTCTTTTCCTTGGGCATAAGATGTCTCCTTCTCTAGTCAATGAACCTCATGTTGCATTGAACACAACATAGAATAGTACCCATCATACAATGCCATATGCTTACTTGACTAAACACGGCATATCTAATAATTCTACCAAAGCAGCAGATAATTTAATGCAGGTGTCCCTCAGGGCTCTATCTTTGGACCTACATTGTTCTTAATTTTCGTCAATGACCTTCCTGATGTCATCAGTTCTCAACTCGATAACTTTGTTGGTGACACAACTATTTACTCCTGTCAGTAAGTCTGATCAGTTCAATAAGACCCACCTAGTGTCCAGTTGGCAGAAAAAAAAAATTGGGAATGTAACTTAATACACAGCCCGTCCAGGCACTCTGGTCACAGGGATTTTTTTTTTGTTGTAATTATTATAACTATAAAAAAATATATAAAATACATACATTATTGAAAAAGGGGTGTGAAACATACTCACAAAAATATTTCAGTTTTTTTTAATTAAATAACCTACTCGCTAAAATATTCATTCATGCCAATTTTTTGCTTTCATTGCATAAAGAAAGTATTCCTTTTGTTTTGATGGTACCTAGTTTAAAAATATGTAAAATAAAATCACACAGGGCTTTATTTAATCTCATTTTTTTTTTATTTATTTTATATATTTTCTCTGGTCCCAAATTAGAGCCCATACTTACCTAAACAAAATAGACCAAACCCGGATATAAGAGAAACCCGGATATAAGAGACTTCGTCTCCGGTCCCGACAACTCTCTTATATCCGGGTTATACTGTACCAGCAATTTCTTGAAAAATAAAGATTTGCGTATCATTTAAAAAAAAAACAAAAAAAACCAGGCACTTTCCAGAAAAAGAAAAAAAGATACAACTTTTTAAATTTCCAGTGTTGTCAAAAGAAAAACATAAATAATTTTTATAGGTTATCAGATCTTGTAGTCAGAAGGAGAAAATTGCATCCCAGATCCTGATAACCGAGAAATTATATTAAAATTGTTGTATAGGGACTATTTTTGGTATGACACCGCCTTGGGATTTCCTTTGTCATCACATGAGCAATTTTATTCTCAATTTTGACATTTTATTTTTCCGTTTCTTCATACTGCATTCTTTCGTTTCAGCTGTAACAATATTGTTTTGAAACAAATATGCAAACAAAAAAAAATAAATCGTGTAAACTGACTGAGAGATCCTGACGAACTGACCAATTTTGGAAAACGCAATTGAAATCAAAGAAATAATTAATAATTGCATCGCCTGCTTTCTTCTCTTTTTTTAAACGGAAAGGTAAGTGAACTGAGTGTTTTTAACAACTAAAATTTAACTTAATCTAGAGTCATACTTCGTACACTTTCCCAATTTTGTATGAATAAATAAGACTCCTTAGCTTTTTGTCCAATAATTTCAATTTAGACTGATAATTACTTAGAGATTTGAATATTTAATTTCTAAATTTATTTCGATTCATTCATTTTTAAACTCATTCACGTTTTTCGTTAAATGTTGATTGTTGATGTATTTTTTAAAAATTATTAATTTTGTTTACATTTTAACTTGTATTTTTAAAAAAACAATATTTGACTTATTTCCACTCCGTTTTGATAACGGAAAGAAACTTCTTTAGGTGTGGTTTATTTTAACGTTGCAAATAATTTTTTACATACCAGAGATACCGGATTTCTTACCGTTCGTTTACAAATACATCACGAGCAAATTTCTTGAGTGAGATTCATAATGTTGATAATTTCATTTAAATAGGATAATTCTCTGATTTTTTGGCAAATTAAAAAAAAAAAATTTTCTTTCATTTTGAAACACAGCAAAGTATTTTGCTTATTGGAAATATTAAATTTTTAATCTTAGCTTGAAATTAAAACTAAAAAAATCTTCTAGAAAAATATATTTTTTAAAACCTAAGGTATCGCGTTTTCTGTGGTGATATTTTAATTTTACTTACGGAAAAACTGTCAACCATTTATAAAATAAATTATTTTATTCTGTATATTGGCTTTCTAACGTTTCATTTCAGAAACAACTTTTCAAGTCGAAATGATCTTGTTTCTGTTTTTGTTTTTTTTCCTCTTGGAAATTCCGACATTTATTGGTTACAAATATTGTATTTATTTAATTACGTTTTACTTTTTAATGGTAAAAACAGCTGACTGAAAGTAAAATGAAATTATAATGCATTTCGGACGCTATTTTTCACCGTTTTTAATGCAATAATAAAACTAAAACATTATTTAATTTAAATTAGAGAGAAGCTTTTAATTGCTTTTTTATGAATGATAAAGACAATATTGTCTGAAGTTTTTTGGTTTTTTTTTTTTTTTTTTTTTCGACGAAAAATGAATTTTTACAAGATTATTTTCCTTCGTTTACAATTCTAAAGTTTTAAAATTCATTTTCAATAACAATATCTCCTAAGAATTAAGTAAAACTCTATTTACTAATCAAAGTTTTGTGATTAATTTTGTTTATACTCCTAATGTAGCATAAAAAATATAATTAATTCTATATTTCATAAAAGTGTGTAGAATAAAAATTTATTTTTAAGCTATTGGCAAACAATACCAATTTCTTGATTATTGCTCTGCTGGTTTTCCATATTTCTTTAATCTTTTCACTCAGGGATGGCAGTAAAAACCTACTGTTGTTCAACGATAACATCACGAATTACAAGCTACTGTGCATACGTTATTTTTATAATGTTTTCAATCATCATTACTTTTACAAAATACAGTTAATTAATACTTGAATTTACTAATTTACTTTGAAATGCAACTCTAGGAGGGCTTACGTCCATATCATGTTTAAATACCAGTTCCTGTACGATTACTGAAGTTAAGCAACGTCAAGCCTAGTCAGTACCTAAATGGGTGATCTTGTGGGAATAAGAGGTGGTGTCATGGATAATGGCCAGAAATTGTTTGGAGATCAATGTTCCAATTCCAGTTGGGTCTGTTATATTCACTTATATACAAATACCCTTGGGAAAGGTATGAACTCACCTCTTTTCTCCACAGCTATAGATTTAATTAGTAAGGCTTGTCTCACTAAATCATTATAATCTCAAAAAAAATTCTTACAATCTAAAAAATATTTTCTGGCTTTAAATAACCTGCAAAGAGTTGATATGCTGTAGAAAATGAATGAATCAATCAACAAACAAGTCTAGGACAAATTGGATTTTTAAAAAAATTTTGTTTACATTTTTCATTTCTATAATGGCTGTTCAATGAGTCATGAGCAAACAGAATGTTTTACAAAAGTCTAAAAACTTTATTTACATATGAACATTTATTTTCCTTTGATATGGATTAGCTTTAGGCTATTACCTTTCAAATAAAACCAAAATATTACTTATAGAAGGCAATTAAATTATTTTAGCTCAAATTTTGGTAGTACCTAGTAAAAACTGATGTTCTATTATAGTTTTGCATACTACCAATGTCAAAACACCATATATTTATTTCTTGCACATTAAAATTTACTTTATGACATTTAAATTGAATGCCTGGACATTATTTTTTTCAATCAAGAAAATAGACATCAATAAAGGTGATTTCTATTTTAATACAAATTCAAGAATCAATAATATTAAACAGGATAAAAATCTGTGGCTAAAATGAAAAATTTTGCATCTTTGTCACATTACTTCTCAGTGATTTGCTGTTGCACCAGTGTTTTGGAGATGCACAAATATAATAGTGCAAATACTGAAATTTTGTCTCTGTAAGGAGAAAAGAAATTAAATAAAAACACACAAACCAATTTACAAAAGAAGATATTTTCTAGCAATAAGTTCACAGAAACAGATAAAAATGTCCATGATTTGACTTTCTCAATGTTTTTCCTTTCCATACAATTCTTGGATAGAATCACTTTTTGATGGTTTCCTGGCTTCGTGCTATTTTTTGTTTTGTTGTCACTGTTCCAAATGCTTTCTTCATAGCAAATACTTGGACAAGTTAAAAAATTTTACTTGGAATATAAGGCAGTTAAAGAAGTATTTAATATGCAAAACTTGTTTGAAATACTAAATATAATCTAAATAGTAAAATAAAGCCACTTACTCTAAGTTTAAGATTCATGTACAAATCGGTCATACATAGCTGATGATCGCAATGTCAATCTAAGTTATTTTAAAATGCTCTAATAAAATAGTTCTATGACTTTATCTGATAAAAATAAAAACAAGACTGTAAGTTGAATGTAGATGCATCCAAAACCTTTAAAAATTGTAAAATTTAAATATACATTTTTATTGACTCAATTGGGGAAAAAGTCAGCCAGATAACCAAAACTTGTTAATTTGGCAACCCTAATCTACCCTACTGTCGCTCTTAATCTCTCAAGTTATTTGCATCAGCTTTTCTCTTTTTTTTTTTTTTTTTTTGCTTCGTTTGTGGGCAAAAATGAAAAAAACAAATCTGATTTCTTTTTTTAATCAACAACCTTAGTGACAGGACACACCAAAGAAGACAACGTGACATCTCTCTCACAATAACTATGCTGCAACTGTGCCACACTGTATGCTACACACCCATACTGAGTCAGGAGAGTAGTGGGAGGGAGCAAAAGAAACAAGTTGCCAATTAGGAGTTATGAGTACTTAAAAAAAATTGGGGGTAACAAAACACCCCATGTGACTTAATTTGTTTATTCAGTTTTAAAAATAACTTTCATTTGTAATCTGGTCTTTATGAAGAAGTGATTGTTTTGACAATGACTTTTGTAATTTTTTCCTTGTTCAATTAAAACCCCTTTCACACTTTTTAAATGGTAACCACTTAAGTATTTAAATCACAGCTTGGAAATAAACAATGGTGATATTTTTAATAGAATATTTTGAAATTCTAAAACATTACCAAAATGTTTAAACTTATTGAACTGTTTTAATTATGACAATTTTGCTAATAGCATTTCATGGAAAATAGAAATCTTGGCAATGTTTGACTTTCATGCCCACAAAATATAGTGTCTGAAAAGAATCTTTTTTCTAGTGATACCATTATTACTATGTACTGCCAGAACTCGCTCAGCAAATGTTTATTTACATGATTATAAAAAGTATATGAACCAAGTACAATGTAATATGTATTATCATTTTATAAATAAATTTGAAAAGAAAGCTTTTTATTTGCAAATTTATAAACAAACTACAATTCAATACTTATTTACCATTTTATAAAGAAATAACTATGAAAACAAGTTTTTTATTCATAATTTTAACAAGTTTTTTTATTCATAATCTTATAAAAAAAACAAAAAACAATGACATATAGAACAAGAAAATTTAAATAAACATAATTTTTCCAAACATTGTACATGTTATTTTCAGATTATTTTTTGTTTTAATTTTCCAATGTTTTTTATAAATGTGGACTAGCATCAAGTATGCCTAATAAATAGAAATCCAAGCCCTGAATCAAATTATAGGTTACCTCCAGTTCCTACTCTTCTTTGAAAAACTTTATAAATCCTTGCTGATTTTTATAAAAATGCTGAGAAAATCAGCCAAAAGATTATTTATTGTCAGCCAATAGCTGACTGATGAAGAAATCTTAAATGAAGAGTGGACACTAAACATTTGACTAAAGTAATTGGCTAAATGCCAATCAATTTGAACTTTTATAAAATGGTAAATAATAAAAAATTTCATTATAACTGGTGCAAATATTTTTATAATTTAGTCAATTTTCAGGAATAAAAAAAAAATTGTTTTCCAATTTATTTCTTTATAAATTGGTAAATGATAAACATTGTATTTAGTTGGATCACATTTTTAGAATATTGTAAATATGAAATTATTCTTGTAATTAAAAAATTCAATAAATAAAGATTTTTGAAATTCTCAAGAACAAAGAAAATATATCAATTCATATGTATGAAGTCAATTAAAATTTTGATAATTGCTTTTTAAAACATTGTCAAGAAAGTGAAGGGAGTTTACAGTAATGGCGTTGCTAAGGGAAAACCATCTTTTGACACTGCCTGTTTTTTGTTTTTGTTTTTTTTTTGCAGGCACAAAGGTTAAACTTTGCTGAAATCTTGTTTTTTTTTTCCATCAGGGAACTCACTTCTATAACTGAAGTGTCCTATTACTAATTTGGTCATGGGGAAAATGGATAATGGTTTAATTCCTGTTGGCAGCATATTTTTCTTTAGTAGGACATCTTGTTTTAGGCTGGTTTTTATTAATTTCACAGTTAAGAAAGCAAAAAACAAATTGCAACTCTAACATGTGTACCCAGTTAAAATAACATAGTAATAAAAAATATTGTCAGATTTTAAAAATCCATTTAAAAATTTTATGATTTAAACAAAAATATTCATGGTTAACAGAACAATGAAACCTTACTTTTCTATATATTATACTTAAAACATTGAATTGGTAGACAATGAACCACTAACCAAAAGTACTGAGATACTTTCAAAGAAGGATCTGTTATGTAACCTGCTATCTCAACTTCAGTCACCTTATCATAGAAAGATGACGCAGAAAGCAGAGCAAAATCAGACCTTCGTTTGACATTCTAAAATATGCAATGTTATTGGTCCTGATCTGGCATCTTGACTCCAGCCACTTTCTGACATCCCTAACCTAGCTTTCCCGTGCCTTTTCTACAAATATTTTTATGGTAATTGTCTGATAAACTTTTTTCTTTAGTGCCCTGACCAAAATAATTTATTGGCAACTCGGTCCATTTTACTGTTGAAATAGCTAAATGAAATCACCACTTCAACTCCAACAATTTCTTTTCTTGCATTTCCCACCTGTGGAACTTGCTTCTGTTTCATTGCTTCCCAAATAACTACATTCTTCAAAAACGTAAATGCTACATCAACCACCATCTTCTGTCTTCTTGAACCCTGTTCATTTTTTTGTCCTTTCCTCAATCCTTCCTATTCTTGATCTTCTCTTTCTCTCCCTGTAAACCCCTGCATACTAGTGGCATTACCACCCTGCTAAGGATGAAATGATTAAAAAAAATTTAAATTACATATACCTCTAGGATAATAATAATTTCAAGGCCTTCATATAAATCCTGTTTACAGCTGAACTTATAAAAGATGTTATTGGAAAATTCCCTGACTAGGCATAAAAATGTACACTATTATTCAAATAAATAATTAATAGATTAAAAACACTTACTCTTCAATATTCCGGACTATGTATCAACATGAGATATTAGTCTCATATTAATTTTATGAACCTACTCTTCCATGCTGGCTCAAGGCAGGTTGGAAGAGTGTGTTTGAAGATTTTTCTGCAGTAGGTTGCCTATTCTTTTTGTGGTAGACTGGTTTCCAACCAAGCTATAGAACCCAGTCAGTTCTACTATTCAACCCATAGCTGGAGAGAGAAGAGATAGATTCATAGCTTTCGCAAAGGTATTTTTATGTAAGTAATTGTAATGAGTGGAATTCAGCCTTGACTCCTCGATTTCTCTTTCCAAGCTGATATCCAGTTCACCACAACACACATTTCAAAATGAATAATATATTTCATATATTATTTAAATTTGGCTACCATTTTCTTTGAAATTGTCTCCTTGGAAGCATACACCTCTTGTAGAAGTCCTCTCCCAAAAAGCCATCCCATAGTGCCTGTAATTCCACTTAAATTTCATCTATAGTCTCAAATTCCAGCCATGGGAGAGTACTAATAAATTGTTCAGTAGCAGTCTTCATGGACAAGTTCACAAATTTTCTGTTGTTTTCTTTTCTTTTCATGATAATTGCCTTGAATGATCATCATCATGTTACAATAATTGATTGGCTTTGAAATGAGTTCACCACACAAAACCCTGCATTTACCCTAAAGAATGTATGCCAAAAACCCAGCAAAGCCTTTTGAGAATCTCATAGCAGAGATTCATGCAAAATTTGATGAAAGTATGTTGTTCAGAATTTATTGGCAGACTGGCTTATTTGGTTGGGTACCAATGAACATAGAGTGCAAGAACTTTCTGATACCAGCTTGAATATGGCGATTTATGAGTTAATCTTTTAGATGTGATGAACTTCTTGCTTTAAAATATCTTTTCTTTATTTGCAGATGTTCCTTTCGATGGAGAATAGCCACATTTTTCTGACAGACATTTGTAAATATTGTATAAAATCACAATTTCAAATTTGACTGGATTTAAAAAAACAAAATGCAAGAATACACACTATAGTTGGTATTCTTGAAAACTTTGAACATCTAATTTGACTGAAATATATTTATCTTAAACTATGGAAAATCACACTGTTGAAAAATCATATATTTGTGAGGCTTGTGGGCTGGCATTTTCAAAGATTTTAGATATGAAAAGACACATGCAAACACACACAAAAGAAAAACAATTTTCCTGTGAAGTGTGTGGATCTGCATTTTCACAAAGTTCACTGTTAAAAGCACACAAACAAATGCACACTGGGGAGAGACCATACCCTTGTGAAATATGTGGATCTGCATTTTCTAAAAGATCAATTTTGACAAAACACATGCGAATACATACTGGAGAAAGGCCATATTCTTGTGAAATTTGTGGATCTAGATTTTCAACAAAATCAGTTTTAACAAATCACATTCGAACTCATACAGGTGAAAAACCGTTTTCATGTGAAGTGTGTGGCTATGCCTTTTCAAGACGTCCAAAATTAAAAATTCACATGCGAACGCATACAGGAGAGGAAGCATACTCTTGTAAAGTGTGTGGATCTACATTTTCAAGGAGTTCACATTTGACAAGTCACATGCAGATACACAAAGATGACAAACCATTTTCTTGTAAAGTGTGTGGGTGTGCTTTTTCAAAAAGCTCAAATTTGATAATCCATGTGCGAACACACACTGGAGAGAAACCATATTCTTGTGAAGTGTGTGGATATGCCTTTTCAAGAGGTTCACTTCTGACAAGTCACATGCGCACACACACAGGTGACAAACCATTTTCTTGTAAAGTTTGTGGATGCGCTTTTTCAAAGAGTTCAAATTTGAAAATCCATGTGCGAATACACACTGGAGAGAAACCATACTCTTGTGAAGTGTGTGGATATGCATTTTCCCACAGTTCACATTTAAAAACACATAAACGAACACACACTGGAGAGAAACCATATGTTTGTGACATTTGTGGATATGCTTGTTCAGTAAGCTCAGATTTAAAAAAGCATAAACGGATACACACTGGAGAAAAACCATATTCTTGCAACGTTTGTGGATATGCATGTTCACAAAGTTCAGCTTTGAAAACACACAAACAAACACACACCAAAGAGAAACCAGATGCTTGAGACATTTGTGATGTATTCATTTAAAAAGCTTACATTTTGAATACCATTTCCAATTTTTTTTTCTGTCCTGGGTATGACGATAAACTACATCCGCATCCTGGGTAAGAAGATAAACTACGTCCAACAGCAAGGCCTCTGACGTGGAACCACCTTTTAATCGCTGGTGTTCCCAGGTCCACCCTGACTCGGGGTGGTAGCACCTGTTAGGGTCCCAGCTATGGTCAAATAGTTGACACCCAAACTTGTGTAAAAATAGGTTTTAATACCAGAAATACTTTGTAATAAAAAAAAAAAAATATTACCATCAATAATTTTTGAAAAATTATTATCAGCAATACAAACAGCTATACATTCTTTGAAAAAAATATTACCAGCTATAGATTTCTTCAAGGAAAAATGTTCCCAGAAATAGATTTTTGAAGAAAAACATATTACTAGCAATAAAAATTTTGTCGGCATTAAATAACCCGTTGAGGTTGATATGCCGTAAAACAAACCAAATTTTTTTATAGAAACATTTTCAAATAGTTCAAATTTTAAAACCTATTTATATGACAAATGTAAGTATGCATGTTCAAATTTAAAAAGACAAGCAAATAATGAATTGTTGTTCATCTCAAGTGTGTGTCAGTACTTGTGTTTTTTTTTTCACATGAGGTGATCTTATAGGTTCTAGATAGTATGAACTGTGATCATACCATACAAAAGAAATGAGCATTCAAAACAACCACATACCAGCAAATATGGAAAGAATTGATGAATCAACCCATGAGGACCTTTGCTAAACAGTCCATCAGCACTCCTATCACTGGAATCAATTATGAACTTGTCAGATCCTAGTCCAGGAACTTTCCAATATTACCTCCTTTCAGAGGTCATAAATTTATTTGCAAAGGTGCCCTGTACTTTCGGCCTTGTGCCATATCTAAGCCATGCTTATAAATTCACCATAAATTTATTTGCAATAAATCCAATTTTGAAATGTGATATTTGTGCCTTAATGTGCCTGCTAACTTCGAATGTAAATACAGGATTTTTTTATTTTTTTTGGTTGATTTGAATTTTTATGGCTTATCAACCATTTGAAGGTTAACACCAGAAAATATTTTTACACTAAGAATTTTCTCTTTGAGATAATAATGGTTTAATGATACAAGTTTTACTAATTAACTTTCCCAAGGTTATTTGCATGCAATTAAATATAAATAACCCAATGGGAATTGGAACTCAGCTCTGTGATTAAAAATTCCATGACGCTACCTGCACATTCAAGTTTACAGCACCTGGTATTTCCAAGTGGTCACCTATCTAGGTACTGTCCAGGCTCAATGGTGTTTAACTTCAGTGGCCATAAACACAACTGTGATTTATGGTTTTTGTATATATATATATATATATATATATAGTGAGAATTATTATAAGTAAAAGGTTTGTCACTTAGCAGATTGGAGTCAGGCTGCTAAAAGAGTTTTATAGACGGGCCTCTCCGTCCATTCATCAGGGGATATCAGCAATTGACTGCTTGTATTTCTCTATTTTTATATGCGCTTATCATTAGTGCAACTCTTTTTCATCGTGTCTGTGTGTGCATTCAAGTGTATGTGGGCATGTATGTTGTTGTCATGATTATTTGTCTTTTTCATCTGTTTTTTTTTCTCCACTTTACACTCAGTCCTTAGTTTGTTTTTGTTTTTTCTCTTTTCTTTCAATTGTTGTCATTTGTTGCCTTTTTTTTTTTTATTGAAGCGTTCATGTCTTTTCTTGAGTTAGGGAAATTGTATTTTGTTTTTTACATAAATAATTGATTTTAATGCTTAAAACATAAAGTAAATATTTATATATGTCTTTACTTGGCTATTATTTTGTTTCCTCATCTGGGTTTGGTGGGGTGTGTGTATATATAATATATATATATATATATATATATATAGGCAGCATATCTTCATTCAAACATGTTTTGTTGAATAATATAGACATATTGTGTCTACTTATTTTATTTTAATCCTCTGAAATTCATGGATCAATTTTTTTAGTACTGTTACAAAACTGAGTAATCAGCAAAATGCATAGTCAGGTTTTTTTTTAGAAACATTATACTTTCATGAAAGTTTTTCTAATTGTCAATAATTTATAACTCTGTCAGGATGAAAAATCCAAATTTATAACAAAAGTGAGTAAGAAAGACACTGTGGTTTTGGTTATTTCTTTTATTTTCCCCAAGTATTTTCAATCTCATCCAAGATCATCTTCAGGTGTGAATTGCTAAGACAAAAATTAATTTAATAGTCAATTTATGTTAAGAATATATAAGGGAGGTAACTTAGTTTAAATGTTTTATTGTAAATGTTCTAAAAATACTCAACCTGCAATTCTTTTAAATATATATAATATATATATAATATATATATATATATTTATATTTTTTTTTTTTTTTTTTTTAGAATTGGAATTTTTATATGAAAACATTTTACAAATGAAAGAAAATATCAAGTTCTTTCACTTAACCGAAAAAAATTATTGTATTAAAAAAACCTTTAGTGACTATCATCTATTCTATCAACTTTTGGCTTACAACCATACCACATTGAAACACCAGTTCTTGTATGATCACTGAAGTTAAGCAATGTTGGGTCTAGTCAGTACTAAGATAGGTGACCACTTCAGAACACTAGGTGGTGTAATTATTATTTTTTTTTTTTTTTTTTTTTAAGCGTTTCACCCCAAGCAAGGCGAGAAGCCACTAGGATGCAAGGGGTTACAGGAAATAGCAAGATCAGATGGGAGTGATAGAAGAAAGGATGAGGGTAGTGGATAGATCAAGGCAACTGGAGATGTCGATTGACATTACACTTGAATAGCTGGAGATTATAGCTCACAGGGAAACAGGAGAAGGGAAGGGAGTTCCACAAGCGAGAGGTGCGAGACATGAAGCTATTAGAGTAGAAGAGATGGCTACATTTAGGAGTTTCGACAGTGAGGGGGTGAGAGCGGGATTACCAGCCTCATAGGGCGCTGGAACACATGACGTCTGGGAACCAGCGAATACAGCTCCTCGGAGAAATTGTTAATTGGAGAGCCAAATTCCAGTTCTAGTCAAGTGCCTTATATTCAGTTATGCCTAAATACCTTTCAGAAAGGTATGAATCTACCTGTTCTCCACTCCCCCACAAAAATATAGGTTGAAATATAGGCTTGTATCAATAAAATTATTATCTCTCAAAAATTCAGGTTTATGGCCACATAACGTTGAAATTCTAGTTCCCATATGATCACTAAAGTTAAGCAATGTCAAACCTGGTCAGTAACTAGATGGGTGGCTGCTTTGTGTCAGTGGTATAGTGGATAGTGGCTTAGAGTTGCTGATCAAAGAGCTGAGTTAAAGTTTTTGTTGGGTTTCTTATGTTCACTTATACACGGGTGCCTCTGGGCGAGGTATGAATCCACCTCCTCTTGCCTCAGCTGTAGGTTGATTCGTGGTACTTATATCCCTAAACTATTATTATTTTTAAAAAAATAATTCTTATGATCTAAAAATATTTTCTGGCTTTAAATAACCTGCAGAAAGGTTGATAAACCATAAAAAAATCGATCAGACAATCACCTTTTTCTGCTGAAGTTACTCTCATATACTTGGCAAGTATTGTTATAGTTCTGCTGTAATAGTAAGTTCATAAACTAATTTAGCTCCAAGAATCTCTGGCGAACTTGAAGGTTGAATTTGACTTTCTCTGAGTTATAATTTGACATCAAAAATTTTCTATAGAAAAAAAAAAAAGTCTTTTATTCTCTTTTACTACAAATCGCTTCATTTCTCTAGAAATGATCCAGCTTTGTTTTTTCTAATAATGTTCACCAATACAAAGCCCAAGAGCCACTCAAGATAGAGGGTTACTGTGTGGTGTTGTACAAGCATAAGAAAGGAAAAGATATGAAGTTCTTAGTGCTATGCAAGTAAAGATAACAGGTAACTGGAAGAGGTCAAGATTTAATTAGAGAATAACATTTCACAGTTCAGACAGACATTAGAAGTATAGAGTTAAAGTAGACTTTAGAAGGAGCCAGAAACCCAATCCTAAACAGGAAAGAAGGGATAAACTTCTGCTCCTGTTCAAAAGACAGCAGAGGAGTTTGAACAATATGATAGACGAACCTATCTACTCCTATTGAGAGAGAAGAAAATATATTAGTGAATAAATTTTCAGAACTAAGTCAGACATATTAGAAATATAGAGTTGAAGTAGAATTAGTTGAACTTTAGTAATTTAAGCAAATTTCGACATTCTTACATTTTTTTTTAACCTGACTAAAACATAAAGGGCTCCTAGGAGTGAAAGAGGATGAGAAAACTTTAGGATTGGGTTTCTGGTTCTTTCTAAAGAGGAAACAAGGGATAAACTTCTACTCTTGTTCAAAAGAATGGAAAGGACTGTGAATTGAACCAGGCAATAAGTGAACATATTTGTTCCTGCTGGAATTAGAATTTATGGTGAATTGGATATCAGAGAGTCAAGTTTGAATTCTTGTCAGATTCATTGCATTCACTTATGTGCATATACCCTTGGGAAAGGTATAAATCCATCTCTTCTCCTCCCAGCTATGGGTTGAATAGCAGGACAGAATAAGTCCTATGGGCTTGGGCAGCATTCTACTGCAGGAAGAAATGGCAACCTACTGCTGGAAAATCAGAGAAAGAGACATGGATGGCCAAATATGTGTCACTCCAGTCCTTGATGATCACTGTAGTGACAGTCAAAAGGACTTGAATGTATAAAAATGGGCAATTTAACATTTTTAATTCGAATTCCAGTCAAATCCATTACATTGACTTATGTGCTAAAACCCTTGGGAAAGGTATTGTTATAGACAAGTGTATGGTTGCAAGAAAGAAATACGACAACAGCAGAAATAGATTTACGTTGTTTATTTCAACAGGAATGTGTGGGTTTGGGACAGCTACCTTGTGGTAAAGTTCATAAGCCGGCTTTGGATCTAGGTCAATCTCACATAGTAGTTCATACATGTTGACGGTGGTTGACGCTCCCCTACTGCAGCTGAACGTGACAGGTCTCTAACCTGGGCACCTGTGGACTGCCTGTTGAACTTCCATGTGACCCCTTTTATAGTGTTTTTTTATGGCTTAACAGGCTCGAAAGACGAAGCGAGTATAATTAGGAGGGAAGCATTTTTATTGGACGAAAAATAGAACACTTTAATTATTATTTTATTTTTCGACTGGAACACGTGTGTCGGGAACATTTGTAAAGAAAGATAATGGTCATTTTGTGACGGGGCTTTGTCCTGTTTACATCCGGTTCTCGCTCTTGAGTATTCACCTGTAAATCAGCCGAGATATGTCTTATTTTATTTTATAACAGTATGAATCTTCTTCTCTCTCTCTCTCCCCCCGCCAGCTATGGGTAAATAGCAGGACAGACCTTAGATGGCAACTGGTCAATCACAGAAAGAAATGGCAACCTACTACAGAAAAAAAATCTGCCTCGTCAATAATGTATCAAAAGATACATGATCACCTAAGGATGTATCACGCATGGCACATAACTGACTGACTGAATCCAGGTTTTTATATAGTGTGTGACATGTAGCAAAGCACAGGTAATTCAGCTAGTAATATATATATATATATATATATATATATAAAATCATGTCACAATTTTTGTAAGAAAATGATTGATTTTAAATCCTTGTTATAATTTGTAGAGAAAAATGATGCATTTCAATATTAGTCAATGATCTTGGTGATGTGACCTCCATCTTCTGACTTTCTCCTTCGATATTTTGGATAGGAGTCATTCCCTTTTTGAAATTTCATTCAAATCAGTGGGAGATTTTTTTCCCCCCTGCTGGAGATCCCCTTTAATCAAAATGAAATATACTTATCCAAGTACCATAGAAGTCATTACCTTGTTCAAATTTAAATTATATGAAAGGGAAGCTTGGTCTGACCCCTTTTGATATGAATTGATGAGCAGATTTCAACATTGATTTGACGGTTGAATTATTGCATTGTAAGGAATTATCCACTGATTGGTGATTTCTTGCTCAACTTGCCATCCATATTGTCTCATTTTGATCTTGCCGATGTGACCATTTCCTGGCTTTTCTCCTTCTATATTTTTGGATAAGAGTTAATCACTTGTTCAGATTTAAATCAAAGAGAAAAACATTTTCAGTGGGAGATTTGTAACCACCCGGGGATCCGCTATGATCAAAATGAAATATACGTATCCAAGTACCCTGGGTAATGTAGTTTCAGAATATATATGGTTATGGGGGGGGGGTCTATCTCCAAAACCCTAGTAGGAGTTCTTTAACACACAGAGGCTACAACTATATACTTATATACATATTATATACTTATTATACACTGCCATCATTTTCAACATATGAGGGTCTAGCAGCTCAGTTTGTAGAACCAATAGCCAGATTACCCATGCATATCATTTGATTATAGCCATGAAGTTTTGTGCAGAAACTTTTGGAAGAGATGAATACAGAGGACAGGTGTGCAGTATGCCACAAGGTCCCCAAACAAGCTTCAGCAGGTTTTGAATTCATAGTTGTCCTTCTCCTAAATTGTTCACTATCCATACTGTCTGTCCTGCTATTTACCCATAGCTGGGGGTGGAGGGAGAAGAGATGCAATCTATACCTTTCCTAAGGGTATTAGCATATAAGTAAATGTAATGAACTTGACTGGAATTCGAACTCTGCTCAATGGATAGCGGGTTGGATTGAGGAATTGGAGAACTGAGTTCGAATTCCATTTGAGTTCATTACATTACATATACTACCCAGTGTAAGGCTAGATAAAACAAGTTAATGGAATCAATTCAATATTTGTTACTGTAAACAAAAGAGGAAAGTAGTGAAAAAATATCCATTCTGTCATTAGGCAAAATTTCTTTTTAGCATTAATGCAGATTAAATTGTGAATACATTTCGATACATTTCATGACATTTGGTGTTTCCTTCTACATCTATAATTCTCAAAATGTGTGTGTGTATGTATGTATGTATGTGTGTGTGATTGGATGTTTATGCATTTCCACAGTTTTCATCCAATTTTGATGAAATTTTTTTTTTTGTTAGATATTAGGTTGGTGCAAAAATAATGTCGTTTTTGATGTTAAGTTGAACGTCAAAAACGACATTATTTTTTGCACCAACCTAATATAATAGATAATTCTTCAATGCCAGTTTTGAGTCCGAATTGGCTGATAAAAAATTCCCACTTTGAAGGTGAAAAATTGAAAAAAGTAAATTTTTACACTTTGCACAAAAAATCAAAGTCAAAATTCAATGTCTGTAAAAAAAACAGCGTATAATCAATTTAGAGAGTTGAAATCTAATGCAAAAGATTAATTATAAAAAAAAATTACATTATAAATTAAAATTATCGTATATTATTATTATGGTCCATGAAAGAGGTTCCTTCCTGGCAAGATTGAGAACACAAAAACGGCCCTTTTCAAGGCCTCCTCCCCATTGAAATTGTTAATTTGTGGATGTGCCTCAGTTGCATCCAAATGTTGTTACTAATATTGATTTTCATGTGGGCTGACTTAAACTGCTCCAATTGAACGGCAAAAATTCTCAGTAATGAAACACCCAGTTGAAGACTGGTTATTTTCTTTCAGATTGGATAGAGATAAAAATGTA